GAAAACGAGACGGCGAGGTGTTCTAAACTCTTTTCTTGTCTCAAACTATATTTATTAAATAGGCTTGTCACTTTATTTTATTATGTTAATTGTCATAGTTTTTTTTAATATTTTTAACCATGCGTTTGCATATTCTATTTACACTTGTCGGATCTAAACGCGAAACGGAGATGTAGTTCATCCTATTGAGGTCGCATTTAGTCACTGCCTAAATCCTTGTCTTTTTTTGAAACTATCATTATGCAAATGCGACCTTCACCAAAAATCCACTTTCACCATCAATCATCCGTTCTATCATCATCAATGGCCCACGGCTAAATTACAGGTTATTTCAGTTTTTTATAAATACCTTAATTTATAATTGTTTGCGTTCTAAATTATGTTTACATAAGAATGTTACTTTTAATATAAAAATGAATAGTTAATTTCTTTGTTCAATTCTTTGACGTATTTTATTATTTATTAACAACAACTACGTCCTTCAAAATATCCTTCACATTTGACTTTTTTATAATATGATTTGTTTATAATCCGAGCTGATCAAAATCAATATAATAACCATGGCCATAACAACTTAATTGAAACAAAGGCTATAAATAACATGACCCTTTCAGCCACAACAACACTACCAATACTAAACCACTTTAATTTATAAAAACAGCAAATAATCGAGGTCTCTTGCTGTCCCTTAACTGACAATAAATTTGGTTTTCGTTTTAATTAATTATATAATAGAATTTTACAAAAATTTTAATAAAAATATGAATTTAATTTCGTAAATCAGCCACTTTTAAATGATTACTTTAACTTAAATTATGAGTCATTAATGCTTACATTAATTAAAAATGTAGATAATATAACAAGTTGCACTTGATCAACTCCTTTCTCCTTATCCAATAATCGATATAGCAGATTGTCGAAAATGGTAGCGCCGGCATAGGAGTGCGTTTATTCTCATACAAAAGCAAACTTTACCATATACGGTGCTGTAAAGTGGGCTGCTTAAATCAGAAACAAGATAAATAGTAAACTTACAATCTCACATTTTATCCGCATGTCTCATTAATTTAACCTTATCATAATATACGGTTGTTAAATATGCCTTATAAATTTATATTTTTAGATACATGTAAACTAATGATAATGAGACTACAACTAGGTTCTTTTGTTACTATTATATTAGTCTTTTATAGGATTGTATTTTGGAACATTTTACCTTATTAGCGATATTAGGCACTGTAGGACATGGGTCCTTTTTCTACCGACTTCAAAAAGGAGACGGTACTCAATTCGAATGTTTTTTTAAGTGTGTTACCTCATAACTTTTTTCTGGGTGAACCGATTACGATGATTCTTTTTTTATTTGAAAGCTGGTGCTTCTCATGTAGCCCCATATAAATTTGATCAAGGTCTGACCAACATTTTTTAAATTATTCTTAATAATTTATATTGAAGTTGGTTGTACATAATTTTTAATTATTATTATACTAAATTGACGGATTTACAAACCGCCTGATAGTAAGTAGCTACGGCAGTCCATGGAGGCTATGCAATGCTTATGCAGCTATCTTCAAAAAAAGAAGATTGGCATACATTAAAGCCTGTAATTACACCGGCTCTCTGTACTGTTCAGAGCGGAACACAGCAGTGCAAGCACTGCTATTCGGTAGCAGAAGTAGATAAGAGGGTGGTATCCACCCATGCGTACTCCTAGGACCGCACGGCACTAATTTTTACTAATCAAAAGTCCAGTGCTGAACATAGTATTGTCATAGTTGCTATGCTTGGCAGACAGGTGCCTACATATATCTCCTGTTTTATTTCTGTCTGCCGAAAAGATGGCATTTGAGAATAAGTTTGCATATTTCCCCCTATAGTAGTGTACCCGTTAGCAAATATTCATTAAAAATACGATTAAAAAAGGGAATGTCGGTCAAATTACAAATATCATGTTAACTTTATTTATTATTATTTTTAATTTTACAGAGAATTAGGAAAATAAATTAATCCATATAGATGGCGAGGCGACAACGACAGTGTGATTACAGTTTAACGGAAAGAACGAATAAATAAATTTTTAGAATTGCCCCAATATATTGTTATTATCTTCTAAGATGTAATAATTAACACGCAAACAACCAAGTACTTGTAGTGTGTAAAAATTTGGGTTACGATCACATAAAAGAGCCGATCTTTAATCAGTCAGCGTATGAGTAAATTCGATTCTGGCTTTGAACGTATCGAAAACATACAGAGCAGAACTTTTATATAGAAATAACATTATAGAAGGCATCAAATTAGATAATTCAGATTACCAAGAATTGCTTTATTAAAGTACCGACTTGAATTATAATCATATCTGGTTGAAGTTTAATATAGCACCACTGTGAAAGTGTACCGGCTACCATCTCCATCTTTATAAAAATATGTTATATAAAATAATAGCTTATTTAACCTTGTAGATTTATCATCATTACAGCCCTGCACATGTCCACTGCTGAACATAGGCCTCCCCCAAGAAATGCCACAAAGCACGGTCCCGAGCCTCCTGCATCCATTGACTTTCTGTATGTCTTACCAGGCCGTCACTCCATCTTGTGGGGGACGCCCTACACTTCGCCTGCCGGTACGAGGCTGCCACTCGAGAACCTTTCTTCTCCATCGGTTGTGACTACTGCGGATATCACCCTCGTTTTTAAGTCTATCACGCAGAGAAACGCCGAGCATAGCCCTCTCCATAGTTCGCTGAGCGACTTTGAGCTTCCTCATATGGCCAGCAGTGAGCGTAGATGTATCGTATTACATAAATTAAAAAGGAATATACCTTCTCTTATTTTAAGTCGGTCGAAATATTGAGAATGCAATAATAATATTGTATATATAAACTAATATCATATTATTTTAAACTGATAAACACCACTTAAGTTTTTTAATTTATTTTTCGTCGTTTGTAACCCAGTTACGCTGCTCGCAACTCTCGTTTGATTAATACCTAAAGAGATAATGGCGCCGAAAACATAGACCATGTCTCGCAAGCACTGTCTTATTCACGTCTATTCTATGGGTTTTGGTAAGGTAATGTCTGTAATTAGGGGGTGAAAGCGAGCCGAGTCGTTTTTATTTCAGTTCCGTGAGCCATTTGGTTCGCACGAGCTTTAAAATGACGATCGAGTCTAATTTTGACAAAAAGCGTGAAGCGATTCGTGAACATTGTTTTAGGGTAAAACCGTGAAATTGTTTTCGACGTCGCCGTTTATTCGATTGACAACTTTTTAATTTATTTTATACTAGCTGTTCCCCGCGACTTCGCCCGCGTGTAATTTAGGGTTTTAATTTTTTTTGCGAGGAACCCTAATTATTTTTCTAAAATAAAAATAGCCTAAGTTACTCCTTATGGACATCAGCTATCTGCCAGTAAAAGTCCCGTCAAAATCGGTCCAGCCGTTTGGGAGATTAGCCGGAACAAACAGACAAACATACAGACAAACATTTTAAAAAGTGTATTTTTGTTATAAGTACAGTTTATACTTTCATATGCATTTAGTAAAACACTGTAATTTTGACATTACAAACAGACGCTTCAATTTTATTTATTTGTATAGACGAGGTACTAATTCCAAGACTTCTTTTTGTATTGCGACTGAAAATCAATAAGAATATCTTTTATTTTGGTTAAGTTAAATGAAGTTTCTAATTTTCATGATATTGATTTTAATACTATATTTCTTTTATAAATAGACAACAAATGAGACTAACTAAAAAGGGTTATTTATTTTGTAAACAAATAAGTAACCAATTTATATGAATTGGTAACAAACTGGCGTCGTTATCATTTCCGTTAGCAATGTCATCCTTTACACCAATAGTGTCATGATAATAGCCGCGTTGGCAAATCAAAGATTTGGCACCGGTTCAGAAAGCGACGGACTAAAGTTTTTAAAAGAAACAAATTCCGCTCGCAGTAGGTTTTCCAACACACCCGAACAAAACTCAAGATGATGCATTTAAAGGACAATCAAAGAGCCACTGTTGTGATGAAACATAACAGAAAGTTTTGCGTTCGTTTTTATAAAAATCCATTACAATATCGCAATTTAGAATCTACCACACTTTAGTTGATATCGCTCGTGGCAAAGACTGAATTTTTGCTTCGAGTAACTATCAGTTCGTTGTTTTCAAGCATGCACTATTACAACTATTTTAACCCGTTGCTCCAAATTTCTTATCCCCGTCAACAAGTGCGATGTCATCAGTACTGATGACCAATTATGTTATCACAACATTTCAATGTGCTTGTTACGTGTTATTTTACGATTTTTCTTTTTTTAATCATCAAATATGGCTACCCTAATGACGAGAGACTGTCTTAGCGTTGGATTCGAAACTAGTGAAGAACGCGCTCGAAGATTGATATTATCTGTTCTTGTACAGTTCTACTATGTGTAATTGTTCAGTTGTTGCGAAAATAGAAACGACATTTGTAAACACAAAATGTTAAAAACGACGGAATCTTTTAAATTGGGAATACTTTCTTTTATTAAGATTACTTATGGCCAATACTCAAAGGTTACTCAACTTTAAGATGTCGTTAAGTCTCGTGGTGTCGCAGTCACTTTGACTTAAAGTGATAGAGACAGCACAAGACTAAACGGCATCCTAAAATTGAGCAGCGTTTGAGTATTTGAGCATTAGGCTCGGTTAAACAAGCTTGAACAAATACTCCGTACTAGTGTTATTGTGTCCTTACTTAAAATCTTAATTGCTATCAACTCAACTATGTGACCTAGATTCTTAAGAAGTTGGAACGATGTTACAAAAGCCAACATTTCATCGAATTTCATAATTTTGGATTGATATTCTAAAATGTACGTAATCTCCTGTCACACCGGACACATGATAAGTAGTAAACATCTTCAAGGATATGACACTAGTTATAATAAGGTAAAGCTATTTTGCGACGTGACTGTCACATATAAATAATCTATCGTTTTGTCCAACAGAGCCCTGGTGCGACGAGCGGTGCGGGCGCGGGCGCGGAGAGCGGGTCGCGCGACGCGCTGGACGTCCGCTACTCGCTGGCCGCGCTCGCCGATGATTACACTAAGCGGAAACATGTCGTGCGCGTCACCACAGCTGCTGGTGCAGAGCTACTACTGCAGGTCCGTTTAGTAGAATTGTGTAGACTTTTATGTTTTAAAACATGTACCTTCTAAAATTCAGGGTTACAGAATAACAAAATAATTTGTAATTTAAAAACAAGCTAATACGATCACAGCATTTCTTTCTACTACTCATTGTCTAACGATCTTATTTTTTTACAATGAACCTAGACTTTCTTATCGGTTCTTCACTGTAAGAGATCTTGCTTTTGAAACCAGTGGTAGAATTTGATATTCATAAGAACTTTAAACCATTATTAATTTATGACTTTGAATATTGATCAACTCAACAGTTCTATTTCAAATTAGCTCTTTAATAAAACATCATAAAGTCACTTTATGACATCTGTAAACAGGCCGAAGGCGCAGCCGATGCTCAGCGTTGGCTAGAGGCACTACGACGGCATTCGGCGGAGCCTCCGCCGGCTGAAACAGCGCCCACCGCTCTCAGTACCTCGCCCACCGCCAACAACACTACCACGCTCGCGCCCGCTCCTGCTCCCGCTTCCGCTCCCGCGAACACTACGTCCCCGCAGCCCGACTGCCCATCTCCTTTACCGCCACAACGCAGCAAGAAAATCACCAGGAATAGATCGCCTACCGGTATGTGATAGTGATTACGTACCAATATACAATCTAGCAAGTAATTGATGCCTTCGATTTTTACAATCTTTGAATTTTACAATTAATTATATTATTAGGAACTGTTACTTAACCATTAATTATATTGAATGTTAAACAAATTACGTTAATTTAATGTACTTCAATAATCAACAAAACTAATATTCTGGATCATTTTTGCACCAATATTCTTATTGGTGTTGTATAGCCATTAGCCAACAAATAAGTTTAAAATGCTTGTTAGAAGTGGTTCACGACAGTAGTCGAATAGTGGATTCGAACCCACGACTTTCTGAATTTGCAGTCCGCACCTTTAACCATTTTGCTTAATTTTCAACACGAGTAGATAACAGAATCACCAACACAACTTTTACGTTTATTCCACGACCAGGTCCACCAACACCGACGCTGCCGTCGTCACCCAAAAACAAGACATGGAAAGGTCGCATGGCGAAGCAACTACGGCGTATGCAGGGCGGGACGGGGCCCGCGCCGGGGTCGAACCCTGCGGTCACGGGCTGGCTGGGCGCACCACTCGAGCGCTGCCCCACCGACCCCGACCACCCCGGGGTACCACTTGCCGTCACTCTACCAGCTACCGCTGTCGAGGTCAGTAAATCTACTACGCCAATTAAAATTTAAGTCAGTAATACAATATTCACCTATCAAAACGTCGAGTAGTCAACGCTAGCCCATATTAAGAAGATGCAAATTAAACTGATTCATCTGTTTTCAAACACATGACATATAAGTCACGTTGGTAACTGACCTTATGTAAATCTTAATTTTTTGTAAACAGGTTTTTGTTCTGTCTTTAGAAGAAAAACAAGTCTTTTGCAGGAATTGAACAATTGATCCGCAACACCAAAACCAAACGCAAAGTCACTGCGCTGTTAAAAGCTTTAATAGTATATTTACATATAATACTTATATATATATATATATATATTTAGTAACACGTCATATTTGTCATAAACTTCGATAAATATTCATATTATGTCCAATGTACATACATATAATATTATTAAAATTTAGGCCAACTGAAAAGTACAATTATGTAAATCGCGAATATCAATCAAGTCCATGGTTATACATCCCGTTGCAAAATTAAAATGTATGCCTAAACAAATGTAATCTTTCTGGCATTTTCATGGTAAAAATTCTTCTATTATTATTTTTACGTAGTCATTTATACGTAGTGATTATATTCCTGGACGTGACCGTGCAGTGGCGGTGCAAGAATATCCACTACCTCATAATATATCGTCCCGTGGGTGTGGTGAGATGCGACGACCAACTAAAAAAGAAAATTAAAACTTTGATTTGCAACTCATTTGCCAAGCGTGGCAACTGTGGCAAATATCCTAGTGTAGTCGTATAATAGTGTAGGGGAGTAAATATCCTAGAGTTTATCAGTGGACTATTGATAGGCTGTAAGCTGAAACGGTCAATAGCAATATAGGTTAAGTGTTGTAAGGTTTGGTTTGTTGGACAGGCGTACGGGCTGCGGACCGTGGGCGTGTACCGCGTGCCGGGCAACGCGGGCGGCGTGGCGGCGCTGGCGGCGGCGCTGGACCGCGGCGCCGCGCCCGCCGCCGACGCGCGCTGGGCCGACGTGCACGTCGCCTCCAGCCTGCTCAAGGCCTACCTGCGCCGCCTGCCCGACCCGCTGCTCACGCACCGCCTCTACCCCGCCTTCATCGGTACACCACACACACATTTTATATTCACTCTGTTTAAGCCTAACTAACTTGCTAACATCTTACACATACTATGTTGACATCATTGGATTAATTTAAAAAAATATAAACCAACTTTAATTTTCATTAGAACTTGTTCAAAATAGACCTCTGTGTACTCAAAGTATAATCCTTCGATAAAAAACTAGCGAAAAAACTTTATTAAATTAGCATTAAACATATTGTGCAAAAAGAGAATATATAGGGTTATTTTGCAATAAACGGCTAAATTTGCAGAGAAGGTTCAGAATAGGTAATGCCATCAAAAACTTAACTTGTAAAAAAACCAAGTCTTGTAACTCACTTCTTCTACCGTAAAAAGTTGTGAGATCCATGTAATAATACCAAGTCGGTAAATTTATTCAGTCCCTACTTAAGGGTCCTTCTCTCTTAAATTATTACGTAATTAACTAACCAATCGACGGATTCAACTCGGTTGGGCAGCGTTCGGGAAATTACGGCACATATTCTCGTCAGGTATACCTCAAACCTTGAAAACGAGACTGTACACCCAGTGCGTGTTGCCAGTGATGACATACGGAACTGAGACGTGGTCCTTCACTGCTGGCCGGATGAGGAAGCTCAAGGTCGCTCAGCGAGCTATGGAGAGGGCTATGCTCGGAGTTTCTCTGCGTGATAAACTTAGGAATGAGGATATCCGCAGTAAAACCAGAGTGACCGACATAGCCCAACGGATTAGTAAGCTGAAGTGGCAATGGGCCGGCCATATAGCTCGAAGAACCGACAACCGATGGGGAAGAAAGGTTCTCGAGTGGCAGCCTCGTACCGGTAGGCGAAGTGTAGGGCGTCCCCCCACGAGATGGAGTGACGACCTGGTAAGACATGCAGGAAGTCGATGGATGCAGGTGGCTCAGGACCGTGCTTTGTGGCATTCTTTGGGGGAGGCCTATGTTCAGCAGTGGACTTGTGAAGGGCTGTAATGATGATGATGATGATAACTAACCTAACAACATCTTATAGTGACCATATCGATATTAAAAATCTTTTGTTTTAAATAAATAGATTGACTTGGCCATCGCATGAAACGCAATGTATCTCAAGTAATACATATTATATTAAATTAGATTGTTTAGTGCAATTGCCAAGTGAATTTATTTATTTAAAACAAAAGATTTTTAATATTGATATGATCACTATAAGATGTTGTTAGGTTAGCTAATTACGTAATAACTTGAGACAGAAGAACCCTTAAGTAGGGACTGAATTTTACCGACTTGGTATTACATGGATCTCACAACTTTTTACGGTAGAAAAACTAAGTTGCGAGACTTGGTTTTTTTACAAGTTGTTTTTGATGGCATTTCATTTCTTTTTGTAGTTAGTTATATCTAGGGATTACAAAGTTATTGATGCAGTTGGTGTATCTCGAAAACTGGACCGAAATTTGAATTGAAAAAAATATTTTAATTTTTCTTTGTTTTGTGTATAGGTACTAAACAATAGTTGTATTCGAAATTTGAAGCTTCTATGTCTGCTAGAAATGCCTTAGAGTTTTGATTTTGATCAGTCAGTGAGTGACAAAATTAAGAAACTTTGACTAGTTCTAATTCTTAAACTACTGGTGCATTTTTGATGAAATTTGAAATATACCGCGTTTATACAATGCCTACTTGATTAGTGAATTCAGGCTTCTAGTTTTATCCACGACGAAGTTATAGGGTTTCGAAAATGGCCTGAACTGCTTCGAGAAAAGGATAGTACGGCCGTGTCACTTTTTTGCTCGACTTAGCAGGGGCACGGCAGTGCCCCCAGATATAGGCAAATGGTGAAGAAAAACAAATTAAAGAAAAAAGTTCAAAAATTCTGTCCTTTTTATCTTTTAAATTCAAAATGCGTGGTAATGCATTATTTTAAGTGATTTTACTGCGCACGCACTCATTCGTAAGGGTCGATCGGTAGGCAAAAACGTTGTTGCCCATAAATCAATTTAAATCTTGGATAATCTACCGACGTCAAAAAGGGGACGGTACTCAATTCGACTGTATGTTTTTTTATGTGTGTTACCTCATAACTTTATCTGGGTGAACCGGTTTCGATGATTCTTCTTTGACATTTTCTAAATTTATTTCCTATCTATGAATGAAGTAGTTAGTTGCACAACTGCTCGCTGATCATTCATTCTAACTTTGTTTGTATATTACATGGTAGAGCTACGCTGCAGCATAAGTAAACCAGCGCGACTGAGGAAGAATCACGCTCATACAAAATACCACCATAAAATAGCAGCATTATGCTGATGTGTTTCGTATACTGAGTGACGAAAATTGGTGACCCTTTAACTGGTGACGAGGTATTCCAACTTAACCTTTAGAGTTGAGAACGCATCTGCAATTTGATTCTTAATCAAGTAGAGATGAGGTGGACCTGTGTGCTCGTTTGCCACCCTTATTTCTATAAAGGTGGATAAACAAAGACAAAATTATTTCCGAAAACATTGGTTTTATATGAAAACATTTTTAACTTTCAGCGGCTGACCGCTCGCCAGACAGGGCCCGCGAACTGAGGCGTCTAGTTCACGCCTTACCCGAGGCTCATTACGAAACACTTAAGTACCTGATACAACATTTGCGCAAAGTGGTTGCGCACTCAGCCTTCAACAAGATGGAGGCGAGGAACCTAGCCATAGTGTTCGGTCCGACGCTAGTGAGAGCCGCTAGCGACGACATGCTGGCCATGGTCAACGATATGTCCAGCCAGTGCCGCATCATCGAATCTTTCCTCACACACGTGAGTTCACATTTTTTCTTACATTCTGTGTATGCTTGTGATGGAAAAACTTTTAAAGTTATAAAAATATACCTCCTCTTATTAATGTTTGTCTGTTCAATGCTGGAGAACCAGATAAAAACATCTTCAACCAACTTTAAAGAAAGACATATTCTGGGTAAAGATTTCACTAGCTCTTCACCGGAGCGGACAAGAATAGTAGATTTATTAATCAATTTAGAAGTATCATCAACATATACATACAAAGAAAAGAAAATGTTAAATAAAAAAAGTACAAGGATAGTACGGTACCTAACCAGATGTACTCCGCGGTAAAAAGTAGTCAATAGTAACCATTAAGTAGTACATTTTTTACAAATTGTAAAAATTGCATTTCGGTTTTGAATAAAAATAACAAAAATGTAGAATATGAGTAAAATGTTACATAAATTCATTTCTATGTAGCTAAACTCTTTTTTTAAGACCGAAAACTTAAATTACAATAAAAGCTTAAATTACAAATTGCTGCAAATCCGTATCTCAAGTATTGATTTTGTTTTGAAAAAATAATATTTTTTTTAAAACTGTTAAACTTAAGATAATTATAATTAGCAATAGTCATGGGACAAAGATTTATTTTTTCTTTGAACTTATTAAGTGCGTTTTTGTTATTATAGTTAGTATAATTAAAGTTCATTTCTGAACAGTAGTTTGCTTCATAGGGGGATTTTGTCATAGCTGCTAGCTGGCTTGTAGGCAGGCTGAGTTGAGCACCGCAGTTTTTTATATTTATTTGTTTCGCTATTGGGAGGTAACGTGTTGTGGTTGTGCACTGTGCAGTACGCGTGGTACTTCGAGGAGAGCAGCGGCGAGCCGCCGGCCGACGCGCCCAGCGGCGACGCGCTGCCCGGCGCGCCCGCGCCCTCGCGCGACCTGCTCATACACAACGTCAAGAAGATCGAGGGTACGCGCCCCATCGCCCCGCCCCACTCGCACCCTCCACTCCCTCGCACCCTCGCAACTCACACCGCACGCACGCATGCACGCACGCATTTCACACATATCACAATTTATTACTTTACATTTCGTATGTCACTTTAAATAACACATTTCACGCTTTACACTTACACACATCATTCACATCAGCACATCACTCACTTTACTCTTCGCATACTTTTATACATTTTGCCCTCCACACACCCCTTAATAAATGTATCAGTTCTTATCATTGCCATTGTCATTATTTCACACGTACACCATGCATATAACGCTGCACATTGCAAATTCAAGAGCTTACATTCCGCATATACTCTGCACGCCCGATATTATTTATTTCTTCATTATAAAAATAAAATATTCATTAAAAAAACTATATCCATTAAATAATTTACATTTTTAATATATTGTTAATTTTTTTTTTCAAATATTATCTCAACTACCTTCAACTAACCGAGCGTTTCCACTTGCAGGCAAAGACGTGTCGACGCGCGACATCGTGTCGTCGATAATATCGGCGGCGAACCGCAAGATCCAGCGCAAGCCGCGCGCGAAGGCGGCGGCGAGCGGCGACAAGAAGTGGGCGGAGGCGGACAAGTCGCCGCCCGCTTCGCCGCCGCACCATGCCACCGCGCTCGCCGACTACGACGGCCTGCCGCCGCGCTTCCACCGCTCCTCCGACAAGTCAGTACACGCACACGTACGCACACACGTACACGCACACACGTACGCACACGCACACGCGCACGTACACGCGCACGTACACGCGCACACACGCACGAACGCGCACCTACACACACGCACGCACGCATGCACACGCGCACGTACACGCATACACACCCACACACGTACGCACACGCATACAACGTATCACGTCATCTATTCACAGACAATCTCGAATTTAAACAATACTTTAATTTGAGTCTAGTCAATATTTATTATGTAAAAAAAATTGACATTCTAATGTTTGAGCTTAAGCTCGAGATTATCTTAAATATTGGTCATAAAGTCACTTCTGGATTTGTCGCCCCATTTCAACTCAAACCGCAATGAGTAAACTCGAACGAGAAATATCGTCCATAGACACGACATTTTGAGTATAACACTCATATTACAAAATATTTCTCAAAATAATACATATGGAAATTAAAGATTAGATAACAAAGAGCTGACTTACGTACGTTCTGTTCTATCCTATAAATTACATATCGTTACGCAGAAACGATCAAGCTACAAAAGACTGCTAATCTGGAGAACATTTCAAGTTTGGAAACTTTAGTTTTTTGCGTAACAACGTCTAATTTAGGAGTTGAAGAGTTATGCGATTTGACTATATTTTTTACGTGAATGTTTGGGATAGGGTGACCATTAACTAGGAACATTTATATATTATAGATTTTTTCACTTAATCTTTGACTTCTCTTGTTACAGAATTGAGATTGAAAGCATGACAGCAATGAGCCGCGGCCGGCAAGAGGTCACTCGACACGCGCACACATTGAACAACTTCTCGATCGACGGTAAGTCTCGCGCGCCATTTGTATACGTCCGAGTCTCTTGCAGATACTGCTTGCTTGGTAGTTGCGTCGGTAAATAAATGTGCTGAAATGTATCATCTCTTATTATATTATTATATCTTATTATATGTATTACCTCTTATAAAGTTTGTTTTTTATATGTTACATAATATACAATAAATGTGTCTACTATTTGCTCCATTAGGTATCCAGTACTGACGTCAGAGAGTAGACACAGCAATCTCTTTCTTTTATCCACATTAAAGGTATAGGATTGTGAGCGTGCGTGTTTAAAGTGTGTGCGTGTAATCGAGTAAGGCCGTTAACACAGAACCGCTTTGTTTGTTTGTGTTCTCTTCGCATATGACCCTGTTTTATTGGACGTCGTGTTGTACAAAGCATTACACGACGGTTTAAGTTCGGGATCAAAGCCATGAGGGGATATAAATATACAAAGCGCTTCATCGAACTAACGCTTAAGCAACGGCATCTAAAGGCACGGCTTACGCTCGTGCATCGCATAGATTAGGTCATGCCAACCATCTTTATGTACATAATCCATATCATCTATTAATCAATCATCAATCGACTCGTCTCGCACGTAACGCCGCGAACTCCCTAACATGCTTACGTATTTGTATCAACGATTTATATAAAAACTTACTAAATTTGGACTTTGTCATAGGAACTGGAGATCTGGTGTCGTCTCTCACGAGCACCTTTGATCAGAAACTGCGCACTTTGAACAACTCCTCGCCGCTCGACGACGGCAGCATCCCGTACGCGGACGAGTGTCAAGATGAGGCGGAGGACAAGTCGAGCGACAGCTCGCCCTCGCTGGGCAGAGATTGCGTGGATCGCGAGGAACGCGCGTCCCCCTCGGTGCGGGCTCACGAGCTGAAAACGGCGTGGCTGGCGCGCGACGTGCGCCACTCCTCGTCCAGCAGCAACGAGGACGAGTCGCGCCACTGGCCGCGCCGCTCGCCCCCGGAGAAGCCGCTCGACAACGACGACTCCGAAAAGGAGAACTGCCTCCGGCCGCGGCGCCCGCTCGACGACGACAAGGACGTGGACACGCGCTCGCAAGCGTCTAGCAACGACGCCGCCCCTGACAACGACAAGTTGCCCTACTACAACGGCCTCCGGCTCGCCAACCCGGAGACCGTGAAGCGGAACAGCGCCGCGCTGGAAAACGAGCCGGAGGCGAACGAGCGCGGCGACGACGAAGGCGCCAAGCTGAAGCGGTCCGAGTCGCTCGGGCGGGAGGAGCGCGTGTTGCGCTCGGAGTCGCTCAACTGGCGCACGGAGCGGCTGCAGCGCTCCGAGTCGCTGAACAAGGGCGAGCGGCCCAGCAAGCTGGAGAAGGGCGAGTGGAACGTGGCGCGGCGGCGCGAGGCGGGCGCCTGGCGCTCCACCAAGCTCAAGCGCAAGAACGGCATGCCCGAGCGCGGCATCAAGCGCCGCCACACCGTCGGCGGCACCAAGGACTTCGACAAGGACGGCTGGGGCGCGCGCCACACGCGCACCTCGTCGCCCGACCTCAGCGAGCTGGCGGCGCCGGGCCTGGCCGGGCCGGGCCGGGTCGGGCTGGGCCTGGCCGCGCCCTGGCCGCGCGCGCTCGTGCCGCCGCCGCGCCCGCCGCTCGAGTCGCACGTCTGATGCGCCGCCCACACGCTCTGAACCGCGCCCGCTCCCGCTCCCGCTCCCGCTCCCGCTGCCGACCGGATTTCGTGGCCCAACACTTAAATGCTACACACGCGTGCTCTGAATGGTGCGTTCGCGGACTCTCGTAAACTGAAGACGAGAGACTAGTTGCGGGACAATGTGTGAAACCTTAATGGGTGCATATGTACCGATTGGTGCTGTTTACTTTTTTATATATACATTATTTCCGTGCTACAAGACGAACACAACCTGCAATGAGCTTAACCGACAATCGAATATAATATAATATAATATATACATCTGAAATTATGTAAGTCTGATCTTATACCGAGTGCATACTGACAGCTCGAAGCTTACATTCTGAGAGAGGCTATTTATTTTGATTCAATTCAATTGACTGAATAGATTAATTCACAATTATCTAAATAATATATATTTAAATAATTACATCGAGCGTAATACTCAAAATACATCTGTAGCTGGTCGAATTCGAAACGCCCATGCATTTAGATATACGTTGTCAATCGATTTCATATATTACATAAATCTAGCTATATAAAATTATCTATATAAAACCAAACAAGTGATTCATAAAAAAATAACGAGCAGAGTGCAATACATTTAATGTAACGTTGACGAGAGTGGAATGTATTTCTGTAATTAAAAGATAAATGAAGCGTTATTGAACTTAGCTCACTAAATAATGCCAAAGAATGATAAAGAAACTGCCGAGTGTAGACGAGAAAGTTTGCGCGGAGCGTACAAGTATGGAGGAAAGATTATATGAAAGGAATGAGAGACCATGTACAACAAAACTGTACAGCGTGGAAACGTGCACTTCAAAATAGTACAATTCAACGTACCGTGCGTACAATTGTTAGTTCCACAAATCTACACGATCGGTTTGTAGTACGACTCCCTTTGTAGGTTACTAAACTACTTTTTACGGAGTGGATGTGGAACTGTTTGACTTGTTTAGTGCAAAACTGCATAATATTAGTGCTACTAGTGTAGATAGTGCGAGAATGAAACTTTTATTAAATAGAACGCCAATGGGCGCAGTTCCGTAATGATATAAATAACAATATGTACCCAATGCGGTCTGCAATTGCATGACTATTTTAATGTAAAACCACTATAATTTAAGAATGTTATTTCGTAGATTTATTTGATTAGCCGCTCTTGGAGATTTCAAAAGGAAGGTATTGTTAAAAAACTACAAGTAAGAAGATATTTATAAAATTTAATCCACGCATACTTCACCCAATTGCCTTTTTGATAGGGTTAGCAAATGCACAATTAATGGCTTGTCTTATGAAACGAAGTTACCTTCTGGCGTTCTCGTCTGGTATGAAAACTGTGAAAGTATGTATGAAAGGATGTACGTGGATATAGGAATTTTAATGTACATTATATTAAATCTTTAATTATATAATATGTCGCAAACGAAGAATTTCATGTAAATAATTAATGCAATAATATTAATATTATCCTGATATCTACACAGCTTGATGTAGTGATAGAGTCTAACGGCTGCGACAAACTAAAGTTAAACACGGTGATAACGACGCAAGTGATCCTATAGATTTGTATAAATTGTACATTACCTGTATCATTAATTTATATTAAATTTGTTATCGTAGCTTTGTTGAATGCAATTATTTTTTATTGTTTTGTTTATCAAAAAAAAAGTATTTTAGGCTAAATTCAATTGTTATTTATTTGCGAAAGATGTAAAACGTGATTTGGCGCAGTTGCTTCTTTAAAATTGTAAACTGTCCTTTGTAAATATTTCGTTTGCGAAATGATGTTTTAGACTTTCGTTAATTAACTTTTTTTTTTGAAAATTTTATACCATCTTTACGTTAAGACGATCTCAAGTTTGTTGAATGTTTGCAAAGCGTTCCTTTTAAAGTTTTATTTGTAAATATGTCGTTTAATGTAGGAACAGTGAATTTACTAATTTTACTTCATCTTATTGTACGTAGTCAGTAGGTGAAGCGTTGCGCTCCTGCTAGTTAAAATAAAATATAAAAGACATGTCTCTGACGAGACAACTCACTCGAGTGTCTGTTCAAAGAGATTTGTGTTGAAATGTTTTATTAGTGCTCTTCGTGTAATCAGCTATGAAATTGAAATAGACATTTTGCGAATGTGGTTCAAACCAGATTAATAAATACTTGTCATTGTGTATATTTTGGTGAAACGAAAATAAAATATTGACTCAATTTCACATACTTCTTTGATTTATCACCCCTCACAAAAGTAGCATACCTTATATACATATAAATTTCGTAAGGCACATGACAGCAGAAAATTACATGTATATATTATAGTACCCAAGTTACCCATTAGACTTACTACTTTGTATGTTTATGAAGACGTACATAGGTTAATGGAAATTAGCATCATCTTAGAAATACCTATTTTATTAGTCTAGACATACCTTGGCCCAACAAAAATAACACAACGTCAATCAGATGTATTAAATTATAACTCCTTAGGCTATTCTATTACTATATTGCCAAGTTATTCTATTGTATCAAGTATCATTGTCATTTTTTTTAGTCTGCGATATACACCACTAACGACTTTAAATTTTTTAGTGTTTCCAACCAATAGCCGATAGATGACGATCAAGAGCTTGAATGAAGCTTGAATTCTGTAAAATATTGTTCATTATGAGAAAACATACATTAAACACTTTACAGATAAATAAAAGAACCAAAAGGGAATTAATATTTTATTCATTAATATATGTATTATATTACACTCACTGAATACATAAACACATTTATTTGCAAACATAAAAATAAATTTGCCAGACGAAATCATTTAAAATCAGTTGTATCTACCATTGACTGTTAACAGTTAATTGAGACAAAATTATATTTTAAACAGTACAAGACTTAACATTGTCTTTTTAAGTAGCACACATTTGAACTTTTCAGTCAGAACAAAGTATTATTTCAATCAATACATAAATATAATATCAACTACGTCTGGACTCCACAGCATAGAAATCCAGCTCTAACATCACATTGAACATCAATTTGAACTAATCAACAGCAAATTCAAATGAACCCCTAACTAAGGTCGTAGCTGTCTATAATCAAAAACCGTGAAACCTGCACTAATTGCATATTATATGTGTATTATAAATACATATAAACTTTCATTTTAATTATTATATCCATAAACCAATGTCAAGTTGCCGTATTATGTTTTACCTGATAAGCCCTTCTCCCATTACGATACGCACAGGCGATTCAAGTATCCTGCAAGTCTTGGCGACTAGTCGCCGCCAAGTATCTCACATACATTTGAATGCAGGCTCGCACACTACGCTACTGGTATCCTACGCGTCCGCGACTAGTATCGCGCGACTCGCTGTGTTGGTCGCTTGTGCGTCGCGTCTCCTGTGCGTCTCGACAAGATGGCGGCGGAGCAAGAAATAAATATTAAGTTTGTACAAGAAGTTGAAAAACATGCTTGTTTATATAACTACAAATTACCAGAATACATGCGGAAAAATACAATAGATAGGACTTGGGCAGAAATTGGGAATAAATTTCAAATAACAGGTTTGTTTTGTTTATACATAATAAGTAGTTTATTAATCAATGTTACATTGTATTTTGTAAACAGTATTGGTATTGCCAAGGCAATGAACCTTGCTCAGATATAAAGTAGTTTGCTAAATAATTTCGTTGGTTGTGTGGTGACATAGTTGCAGTTATTTCTATATTTTGAGGTTGTATAGTCATAGTAACGGGAATAGTGACCGATCTGTTTTGTATTACCTCCCTTGGACTATATAGAATACCCTCATGTTGTCGAACAAAGTTGTGTAAAATACACACTGCTTTTATTATATTTGATACTTTTTCTATTGTATGACATCTTATAGCTGTACTTAATACTTGAAATTTCTCAGTCATCATTCCAAAAGCACATTCAATTGTATTCCTCCCTCGGCTTATTCTGTAGTTAAACACCCTTCTCAAGTCATTTAAGGTTCTTTGGGGATATGGTCTCATGAAGTAAGATAGAAGGGGAAATGCCTCATCCCCAATAAAATAGTATGGAAATTCATAGTTAGATGGGTCATTAGGAAGTTTGGAAGGTAAAGGAATATTAAGACGTCCATGTTCAATCCAACGTTTGATCCTGGAAGCACTGAAGATTCCACCGTCGCTGTTCCTACCAGCATAGCCAGTTTCGATAACAGTAAATAATCCATCGGCATTACAACATGCCATTAATACTATCGAATGGTAGGATTTGTAATTAAAATTACTTGATCCCGAATTAGGTAATTTTGCTATTCTGATGTGTTTACCATCACATGCCCCTAAGCAGTTGGGTAAATTCCAGAGGCGATCAAAACGAGCAGCAATGTCTTTCCAATGTTGCACATTTGGTAATGGCATATAGTCTCTATTTAATATATCCCATATTATAACTGTAGTTTCAGCTATGACCTTGCAAATTGTATTATCTCCTCTTGCAAAATACAATCCTAGGCTTACAAATGAACAACCTGATCCCAAATATCTGTAATTAATAACAATTAATATTAAGGTTATTTTCAGGATCAGAAGCTAAAGAAAAGTGGAAAAATCTACGTAGTGTTTTTGTTCGCCATTTGAAACCGCCTAAAAGTGGAGCAGGGACTGCGCAAAAAAAACCATACTACTTAGCTGATTTTATGCAATTTACTATACCGTTCATAAAAACAGCAGGAAAACCATCAGGAAATTTGAACGAGACAATAGAAGATAATGACACATTGCAACCACAGTCTCCTGAACTATGCGAACAAACACAGTTCACAGAAAGTGTACCTACAAGCACTCAATCGATCTCGCAACAGCATTCATCTCTTCCTTCTACAAGCACTCAATCAATCTCGCAACAGCAATCATCTCTTCCTTCTACAAGCACTCAATCAATCTCACAACAGCATTCATCTCTTCCTCCAACAAGCACTCAATCAATCTTGCGACACCAATTACCACCAGCAACAAGCAATAAAAGAAAACGGAAGAAGCTTGAAGAAACTCAAGCTGAACAAGATATTGCAGCTTATTTTAAATTGAAACGATCTAAAATTATAGAAAACTGTGACAGTACTGAAAATTCAAACAAAATGTTTTTACTGAGTTTACTGTCGGACGTGAATAAATTGAATGATAATCAAAGAAGACTGTTTAAGAGGAGAGTGCTTGAATTGATAGACGATATTATGGACCAAAGTAGTCCCATCACACTTTTATCTACTCCTTCACCGACTGACAGGGCAATAAGTACGCCAAATACCATAAATGAAAGTGTACAATCAAATACTGCCACACTATATTATGAATCAATACCTATGTTTTTATCACAGGAAGATGAAGAATAAGTAATAATTTTTATAATTGATTGAAATAGCCTATGTTTTAATTTGATGATTGATTGATTCATACTAAAAATTTAATATACATTTTTAATTACATATGTAACAATGGAGTATTATTTACCTTAGGGTTATCAGAATCCTTTCTTCCGCACTAACACACTCTCTAAATATAGTATTTCGTTGATGTATAGCAGGCTTTATTAATGTAACAAGATGCAGGTAGGTCTCTTTAGACATTCGGTAGAAAGACAAAAATTTATTATCATCATGTTGTAGTTCTTGTGCGGCTACAAAAACTCTACAATTTATGTTTCTTTCAATATATGGATGAATCCAGTATTTTCTACTCTTGCGTTGACGTCTTCTGTTTCTATAAAACAGAAAAGCTGCAAGTGCTTCTTCGTCACTAGAATCGCTCGACATAACGTCCGTCCACAAAAACGAGTTTGCACAAATGATAAATTTAGTCATTTTTCAGTAGCATAATATGCGAGCGTCGGGTAGCGAACAAGTATCCAACTAGTATTCTACTCGAGTATCGTACCTTACAAGTATCGTAATGGGAGAAGGGCCATATTGATTACGTCGCGTTCCTAGTACGAAACACATTACTATAATAAAATAACCATCAGAAAGCCGCAAATAACAGATTAGTTTTAAATTCTGACATTAACGATTAAAAAATATTTGAAATGTAATTTTGTGTAATAAATTAAAATATAGGGTACAATGTTCTGCAAATTCAATTTGTATTTGTCTCGATTTGACTGTGTAGTGGATACTGGATAGTGGTATTGTTAGAATATACACTACCCCTTATTGTGGAATAAGAGGCGGCAAAAGGAAACAAACCAGGAAATAACCAGTAGCATATTCCTTTAACAACTAAATAGACGACTGCGATGGCCATCCTATGACAAATATCTCCCTTATGAGACATTCTATAAGGAAACCAACGTTTAGCTGTGGGCTTTAATAGGCTGTAATGCATGAATATAAGAATGAATTTATTTCATTGTTACTTTAAATTGTTGCGAGACGCTCATATGCGCTCGCTCATTGAATCTAACGTTATAAGTATAAAAACAATTTTGTATGAAAATTAAAGTAGCTAAGTGATTAACTTTCGTATTAGTTACTTATTAAGTTTATAAAATATTAAAATCCTGTCTTTTTTCTTTAGGTGCAAATCTTAACCACCTATCAAGTTTACAATGAAAGAATATTTCCAGTAACAAAATTCATATTCTCAAACATTGTTAATAAATTAATTTAAATTTTCGTAGTCGTTTTTGAGCAATTTTATTTGAGATGTGACGAAGTGTAATAAACAAAAATTAACATAAATAAGACCGCAACTTTGACTTAATATGTGGTTACAAAAAAAAGTACTTACTTCTATACATACTCATACGTCGGAATTTTATCTACATCTTAATCCTACGACCAAAGATCTCTTCAACTTTAGTATGATGATTGAATTGCAATAGCCTTGACGTTAAATGCATTTAGGAATAATTTGCATACATACAGGACAAAGTTTATTGAATATAAATTTCCTTTTCAAACAATTGATAATAAATAAAAAAGAATTAAATAATCAATTAAGTAAAACATATCTGCAGTACTGCCGTTATATGTAACCAGGAATGTTTTAAAATCTGACAGCAAAACAATGAGGACTAATCATTTACCGCTCCCCAGATGTCGCTAGTTGGGACCGAGGTGAAGTAATTTGTCAAACAGTGTCACCATAAGTAAAAAGTTGAGATTTAAATAAGTTTTCAGTTTCTAATGTTTAAACCTATGTTACACAAACCAATGCCTCAGTGATTGCTCTTTTTTTGCATATTTTTAATTTTTTTTTAATTATTCTACTTTAAGATATATTGATAGTTTAAACCAAACTTCCATATACATAATTTTTATAGAAGTGCGGGCAAATTTGTCCACATCTAATTTTTGTTATAGTGACGAAACCTACAACTGGGTGGATAAAACAGAATTTCAATTTAAAGGACTCCAGTGGTCAACTTCCTTTCATGACACCTGTACAATGGATTGGGAGTGTAATTATATAGAAAAGGAGTCTCCAATACATTATGATTCTGATGGAAATAGATTTATAATAGTAGATGATTTAAAGATGTTAATAAGATCCCAAGAACCAGATCAGCTCTACCCCTTCAAAACTTTTACTATTTACATTAATAAAATGCCAAAAGAATGTGAAATATCTAGAACATTGTCTTGCTTCAAACATAAGAGAGATCTGCTATGTGAAGAACGTTTTACTGGTGCCTTTATCATGTTTGAGCAAGGGACAAAATGTACAGTATTAGGGAGCATGAAGTATTGTTTATTAGAAGGTGAATTTAACAAAGTTAGGGACTTTGGAGGAAATAAATATGCCAGTATATTAGATTTACACCAAATTAGAGATGCTTTTATTGTAAACCAGGAGAGGGATAATTATAACACATATTTAATGGATGTTAAAATTAGAAAGATTCAGAACTTTTTACTTGATATGGTTCATTCATTAAGTGAAACCAACCCCTCAATTTTAAATTCGTATTTAAAGGGTAGCTATTTTGCAAGGCCCCTGACCAATGATGTTTATGAAGTATGCCAATGTGAAAACAGGGAATCATGTGATGTTAAAGAGTTTCCCCACCCTAGTGTAAAATTTTGTGGGGACAATTTAAAAAGCCAGACTGTTAAACCCTTTGACATTGCAGAAAGCATAGATTTCATCATTGATGATCAATTTAAATTTCAGGGAAGAGACATTCATATAGAAGAGTCAATTATAGAGATTGAGGAGAGAAATGGAGATTATGAAGAAAGTGTTGAAACAAAGTCTATTTTTTCTGAAATGCTAAGGGTTTTAGCTTATTTGGAATAATTTCAGATTGGTTAGTGTATATAGCATTTGCTCTTTCATTATTTAATTTTTTTAGAACATAAAACAAAATCTATTTTTGGATTCTTGTAATATTATAATAATAAAAAAAAAAACAGATCTTTGGTTGGTGTGACTCCACCGCTATTCTAGGCTAATTGCACGGAGACGCTGCACGATGGGAGCCGTTCGTGGCGAACAGGGTGCAAAAACAACTGATGTCATGCCAAGTGCGTGTTGGCGTTATGTAAAATCAAGCGAAAACCCGCAGATGCGGCGAGCAGGCAGTTATATGCATTACAATTTACAACTGAAGGAACATAAACTGTGGTGGCGGGGGCCATCCTGGCTCTCAACATTCAACAAAGAACAGTTACAAACAGAAACATATACAACAAATCAAGATTTAAGATCAAAACACGTACATGTCACCCAGAAACAAGAAGATCATAGGATTAATAATTTGTTACAAAACTATAGTTCATTCAACAAAATAATACGAATTGTCGCTTGGTTATTGAGGACACTTGCACCGAAGCCGAGCTATATCACGTTACATGAACTGCTGCCGCAAAAATGCTGATCGTGAAGTATGTGCAACACAATGAATTTAAAACGGATATAGAACATTTACGTAAATCGGGCACAGTAACAACAAAAAGTAAATTATTAAATTTGAAGCCAGAACTATCCCATCAATTGATGGGTGATTTGCCACCTGCATGAACGGAGCTTGCGCCCCCATTCTTCCATACGGGGGTAGATTACACCGGTTTCATAGAAGTCAAGGCCAACAAAACAAGAAGTGCAAGAGCATCGAAGGGCTACATAGCAGTTTTCATCTGTATGGTGACAAAGGCGTTGCACTTGGAGTTAGTGTCCGACCTGTCCAGCGCCGCTTTCCTTGCTGCCCTGCGAAGAATGTCAGCACGTCTCGGAGCCCCGTGTCACCTATATAGTGACTGTAGAACGAACTTTGTTGGCGCCAACCGTGCTATACAGGAGGAGTACGAACAGCTGCGACAGATATTTGATGACAATTTCTTGAGTGTGCTGGCTAACATGAACATTGAGTGGCATTTTAATGCCCCTTCATGGCCGAGCGCTGGGGGGCTCTGGGAAAGAGCTGTTCAGAGTCTCAAATTCCACCTAAGGAGAGTCATGGGCGAACAGCGGCTTACGTTTGAAGAATACTCTACCGTCTTAGCACAGCTGGAGGCGTGCTTAAACTCCCGGCCCCTGTGCGCACTCACGAAGAATATTGAAGACTTAGAATATTTATCTCCGGCGCACTACCTTACTGGAGGAGCAGGATTAACGATCATTCAAACTACCGAAGACGCTAGAACCAGATGGCATCTAACAACTGAAATACTCCAGCAAATATGGAAGAAGTGGAAGTCAGAGTACCTGTTAGAACTAACTGTAAGAACCAAATGGTTTCGACCACAACGGAACATAGAAATTGGGGATCTGGTAACAATCCATGATGACAACCTGCCTGCTGGGAAGTGGCCTATGGCAAGAGTATTCGAGTTACATCCCGGCAGCGACGGCCACGTTCGAGTTGGAACTCTTAAAACAGAAAAGGGTTACTTAAAATGGCCTATTGTAAAACTAAGCATTTTACCAATTCAAAAAGCAAGCAGTGACAGCGATAGCAGCGAACAGTTGCAAGAAAATAAAACAAGAAACAAGAGGTCAATAGGTCATTCAACTTTACACTCCATCGTAATGGCTCTATTATTTTTTACAACATTGGTGTCTACGGTGAGTGGAACAAGCAACATAACTCATCTGAATGAAAAACAAACATTGTACTTTAACCCGTTGGCAAAACTACAGCTTCTGACGGGACAGAAGCATTCAAGAAATTATTAGACTACCTAGAAAAATCATGCATAATTATGGATACAAACAACAAATGTAACCTGATTGTTCCACAGCTACGTCACGAGTATACGGAGTTAGAATACTATAATCAGCTATTGCTGACCCAACATTTTACCGAGCGCTCCAGACGGCGACGACGCGGCCTTATCAATGGGGTCGGTTACCTGGCCAATACATTGTTCGGAGTATTGGATGAGCGATTCGCCGAATAATATACACGTGACATTAACTTTATTAAACAAAACCGAGCCCATCTTAAAAGGTTGTGGATCAATCATACATCTGTGGTGGAATCCGAATATAACTATCTGAAATGGTTGGAGGGAAGTTATGGATAAACAACATAAAGCTATACTGCATCGTCGGTGTTATACTTCTGGTGGGAGTGGTAGCAGCATAGCGTAAGGTGCGACGGATTTGGAACAACCCTAATGTAGACTCGACAACAGAAGAGCAGCGCGGCTTTCGCCCTCATCCTGCGCCGCGAATCAGTATCTCCACATCACAACAGGATATTCAGATGGTGGACATAAACATTTCAGGAGAACGAGACGCTCGTTGCGTTCCCAAAATTAGTGTTCAATGATGAATCTTTATAATGTGTTTCTTAATTTTTTAATTTTATTGTTTTATGTTATCTTCATACCCCGGGAATATGTTCGGTGAAACCGAACACCTTTGTCAGCAATTGGCGCAACGCCGCCAATTTATTTAGTGCACTTTCGTTACGCAACAGTGGCGGGTGCATTCACAACAATTTATTAACATTTTTGTAACTGTTTTAAATAAAGTGATTTTTTACTATTTCGAACGTTATCAATTCAACATACTTAACAAACAGCCAGACACACCCCCGACATTCAACCTCGTTCCAATGTGGCGCTCCCTAGTGGCAGAAAAAGTCGTGGATGACCTCATTATCATGTAATAAACAGTGGGAAGACGCCATCTAACGTACCCTTTACGAATGTATATAGAGGAACGCAAACTAATACAAAATATTTGGATCTTATATCTTTGAATTTCGACTTATAATTTACCAGAGATCGTTCACTTCAAGTCTTTGACATAATGCCCGAAACATTAATATAATATTCATCCATGATTCACATACACACGCGCGCACACCCTCCCACACAACACACAAATAACTAATTTATTTATTATTTTTTAAACTAAATCTAAATAATAATGACAATCATGACTCATGACTCCGAGGCAAGTCTCATCATCTCTACAATACTTTAATAGTGAGTATAATAATTGACAGAAGTATAACAAATTCTCAATATGGAGAAGTTTGCAATACTTCCGATTCCCTCATAATATCATATTTGATATTCCTATAGCCATTTAAGATTTAAAACTCCAAAATTAAATACTCAATAAAACTGATTGATAACGGTTTTCAATTTTGTTAGTGCTACTGTAATAATCGTCACAGTGGTCTTGAAGGTCAAGTTGAGCAAGTTGCTTGTATTTTAAATTGAGTATTAAAGAAATAAAGATTTAAATAAGATATTGTTTTTCACATTCAACACTAGAAAACTGTATAAATGGCAATAATCTTCAAAAAGCATATTTCTAAGGGTACTTCAAATGAGAAATACGAGTACCTACATGATTTGAGGAGTCCTCTTTTATACAAACTTTAATGATAGTACTCGCGGCGGTAGTTTTGCGGACTGTTACCATTATCGCGGGACGGCTCATGCGAGTTTTGAGCGTAATACGGACTTTGCCATTGTGTATTGGACGCGTAGTTATCATTGTTTTGTAAGTAGTACAAATTCTGCATATTTGACCCGTCGCACTGGTTGCGGGGACTTGGACGGTCGACGCGTCGTGGACCGGACGTTTGATAAACGCTTTGCGATCGATGCGCACTGCTCGGATCCAATAACATATAGTGAGAATTCCGCGAGTCGCGCCAATCGTACGGACGTTGCGTGTCTTGAATGCGTGTGGTGTTTTGGGAGTCGCGAGCGTGGAGAATGCGAAATGAGCGTTGAGTATGCGTATGACGAGTGGTGTATGTGTCGCGTATGTACGTACCATCGCTGGTGTCGTGTGAAACGTACGAGTCGCGTGTGACGTGCGTGTGGCGCGTGTCGCGAGGAGCGTGCGTGTCGCTCGATCCGCACGCGTGTCGCAAGTCGCTCGAGTCGCGCGCGTGTGCCATGTCGCGCGTGTGTCGCGAGTCGGTCGAGTCGGTCGTGTGGCTCGTGTGGCGTCAGTCCGCGACGGGCGGGTCGCGCGGCGCGGCGGGGCTCCACGGCTGCACGGGCGGCGCCTCGTCGCACTCCGCCGCGCCGCCGCTCTCCAGCGACAGGCTGTTCAACAGTATGTCGAACAGCGTGTCCTGCAAATACAAATGTAATCATAAATTATACTTGTTAAAGGTCGTTCTTATATTTCATTTGCGACTGGTTCGGAACATGTTTTTTTTATAAAATAACGGTGACAAACGAGCACACAGTCCACCTGATGGTAAGTGGATGCTGTGGCCTATGGACATCTACATTTATCCTCGATTAAGATTCAAAATTCAGATGCGTTCTCATCTCTGAAGATCTAAGTCGAGGCATTCCATCTGAATGGAATGACTCGTATCCAGTGAAAAGAAAAACTAGCAACAAAATCCAGATGGGCATTTTTTTGAAAAATAACAGTTTACAATCATGTATTACATTAAATGAAACAAATTTTTAGGGATTTTAATTAAACTTTTTAATTTCCGACGTTTCGGGTGCTTTACAGCACGCATGATCACGGAAGAGACTGAGGTGTTTGACGTCCAGATGTCATAGTTAGCCCGGCTACATTCAGTTTTTGAATATTAATTTTTGGTCAGATCTACGCAGAATGAGCTTACAGTATCTTGAAGTCTTGCAGTGGTAAGCTTGGGTTTGGATTTAATTTTATTAATTATAGGATCCCAAGCAGATGGCAGCATCCATCCATCTTCTCTATTGAAATTAGGTTTTTTTTTTAATTTCAAGAGCCTCGCGAATCATCCTTGGTAGGAATCAGTGTTCTTTTGCAAGGATTTGTGGTCTATCAAATCTAATGTAACGGTGGGGACGATCTTGAACATGTTCACACACTGCAGACTTCCCGGAACGTCGTTGCTTCAAGTCAGTTATATGTTCTTTCACAAATCATATTAGAAATAGCTTGGTAGCTGCCACCTCATTCCCAAAGGTTGCTGTTCGTAAATTCCTTAATATTATAATAACTCTTTTTCTACCAAAATACATTTCTGTTACACTTAATTTTTATAGAATAAGAGTGACAAACGAGCACACAGTCCACCTGATAGGAAGTGAATACTGTGGACCCACAAACAATTACTCTACTCGGTTAAGTATCAAAATCCAGATGGGTTGTCACTTCTGAGGAATAAGATGGAGTGCCTTGTTTCGAGTAAAAAGACACTTCACTCCTCTCACTATTTAAAACACAACAACATTAAGTTAATATTTTACGATGGTATTCTATGACAGAGTGGCCCTTCCGCGATTGAGATGGCCCATTCGTGCTACTACCAAAATAAAACTACAGTATGGCTCTACCACATAGAAAAACTCAACTCTTCTTCGTAACCTATGTTAAAACCCGCTTCCGAGTCCAAATTTTTCCAAGAATGCCCCAAGTAATGCATTTATGCATGAAAGAGCCATATTACAACATAATATGGCTGCAGCAATGTCGGTTAGAATATAAAATAGTATAAAATACCAGCATAAAATAGAAGTTTTTTTTTATAGAATAAGGGTGACAAACGTGCACAGTCCACATGATGGTAAGTGGTTGCTGCGGCCCATAGACATCTACATCTATCCTCTATTGCAAATCAAAATGTAGATGCGTTGTCACCCGTGAGGACTAAGATGGAATGCCTCATTTCCAGTAAAAAGGGCCTCCGGCCACCTGCACTTACCAAGCGAAACGCAGAGGTAAATCTCTACTTCACGCTGGTTTTCTGTGAGGTCGTGGTACTACCCCGGTTCGAGCCGGCCCATCCGTGCGACAGCAAAAGCTGCCGTGTGGCTCTACCACTGTTAAAGAAGTGAATGAACTCTACTGTTTTGTATGGTGAGTAACGAAAACTGAAAACCCCTTTTACTAGCAACAAGACATTCTATTTAAATCATCAGAGGAGACAACGCATCTGCATTTTGAACAAGAATAGACGGAGATGTCTATGGGCCATAACATCCACATAAGCGTATGATATGTGCTCATTTATCACCCATGAATTTTGTCAAAATATCTATCTATACTCATTACACTAGGCCGGTATAGTGTGTGGCATAGCATATTACAACAACAACATAGTGGCAATAAAGCCGAATTATGGATGTATCAGTGACAATAAAGCCAATAATAATGGTTACTCCAAACTACATGTTTGTTTTCAGTTACGACCTTATACGTGGCCATCCGGTGGTCATTTCCGCCATCAATCAGTTGTCACAGCGTGGAGGAAAACTCAGCAATCAATATAATCTCTATACATATAACTTTCATTGAAAACAAAAAAAAATATCTACATCATCTTTTAGTCAAATTTTTAACATTGGCTACATAATGTTCAGCCAAATATTCGTAAACTTCGCTTTTAATAAATATACAAAATTCTTAACAATATATTAAACCCTATTGCATTTTGGGTAAAATAGTACAAAAGTACTTAATAAAAGCCAATTTTTGACTGCATTGCAGTCAAAAATTACAATTGTACCTTACAAAAAATATACATAGAGAAAAAAGTCTAAACACACTAACTACATATGTTCATGCAATTTTATTTTTGAAATCATCAGTAACATTAAAGGAAATCTTGTTATAAATGAAGCCTGTACTTTGTTTGGTACAGCAAGTTAAGATTTATTAAGCGTGCAATTATGAACATCATTTTATACGTGGAAGAGCCATGCTGCAGCTAAATAATACGATCCAAGAAGAAATCAATTTAACCTAATAGAATGAAGCTTGCAAAAACGACATAATGAAATTGGTGGTGTGTTGTGGTGTGCGCTACTCACGTTGTAGCTGAGTATCGCGTCGACGTCGTCCGCGTCGCTGATGGAGGAGACGGACGGCCAGCAGTCGTGCAGCGCGTCCGGCGACGCGCCCGCGCGCTCCGGCGTGTCCGCCCCGGTCGCGCCCGCACCTCCTGCGTCGTCCTGCACTGTACTGCACTGTACTGCATGTACTGCACTGTACTGCATGTACTGCACTGTACTGCGCTCTACTGCACTGTACTGCACTGTACTGCACTGTACTGCACTGTACTGCGCTCTACTGCACTGTACTGCACTGTACTGCACTGTACTGCACTGTACTGCACTGTACTGCATGTACTGCACTGTACTGCGCTCTACTGCACTGTACTGCACTGTACTGCACTGTACTGCACTGTACTGCGCTCTACTGCACTGTACTGCACTGTACTGCACTGTACTGCACTGTACTGCACTGTACTGCATGTACTGCGCTCTACTGCACTGTACTGCATGTACTGCACTGTACTGCGCTCTACTGCACTGTTCTGCACTGTACTGCACCGTACTGTTTTGTACTGCACTAACTCACACAACCGACACCGACCGACCTGCGCGCCGCACAGTACTCACTCACACGCACACAATACAACCAACAACTATCAATTTGCATTTCACTGTAAACTTCACAGTACGTGAGCAACCCGGGTTCAATCTTCACCGGCACCAATGAAATTGTTAGTTACAATTTTAAGTGCTGATTTTCCATGTGCTCGGCGGTATTAAAATATTAAAAAAATAAAAAAAAACAATTGAAGACATGTGAAGTTTGCCAACATTCATTGGGGCAGCGTGGCAAACATTTTCTTGCCTTAAAAACCCTTTCAGAAAAGAGACTCAGAAATTAGAGGCCTGTGCCCAGCACCCTGACGTACATATATAGGCTAGAACTTAACTTTTTGACTTTAACAACACGACCAACATCGACGAATCTGCACGTCGATGAGTACGATACTCATCTCACACAAACAAACCACCACAAACAAAACCAGTTGACATGCGTATTGCATCATAGCTTTAACTAACTATATTTCAATATCTAAATCAACGTAAGGCACTGTTAAAATTTAATAACACATGTAGAGAAGTGAAAAAGTAATTGAAACACATTAGATAATTAATTTTATGTTTCACGTCTGTATTTTTTTCATTTTGCGTTTAGTTGAGATTGAGAATGTCATAAATTTTTACAACTCCCGTACAAAATCATTTATTAAGTCTCTATTTATAATTAATAAAAGAAAGAAACTGCGCCAACTCGCTTGCAAAACGTGGTGACTGTGGCAATTATTCGTCCTATGGGGTAGACCTATGTTCAGTTGTAGACTTTTGATATACTATAAGATACTATAGTATAAGATGTAGACCTAAAGATATCACAATATAGTTTAGCAGCACATACCATTAGGCAAAATAGCGTGCGTTCGACGCAGCTGTCCCGGAGATAATGGCGGCGCCCGCGGCGGACGAAGCCGCGGGCGTGCGCTTGAGCCTGAACCTGTGCCCGCGCCTGTGCCGGTGGCCGCGCCCGTGCCGAGGCCCGTGGCCGCGCCCACCGCCTGCGCCGCCGCGGGCACGAGCGCGCTCCGCCGCTGCGCGCGCGCTCCGCTTACGCTGCGCCCTGCCTCAGGTGATTGAGTGCTCGTGGCCCAGTTACGTTTTGGTCCTGAAATATAAACATTTAGGTATACTCGAGAACGCCAGAAAGTGTTTACTTTATGCAAAACTCATTACTTATATCTATACTAGTGATCCGCTCCGTCTTTGGACGGATGATTTCTACATCTCGACAACAGCGCCACCTGCCGGGTCCAATTGTGAATCTAACCCATCCAGGTACCCACTCAAACGCACACACAAAAAAAACTATCTATATCGTTCGAGCAGTTTTTGATTTTTGTTGAGACTAATGGACAGCAATTGATTTTTATATATAGAGATTTGATAACAAAGTTCATTATTCCATATTGTCCCGAGAGTGTCGTAAAATTTCCTCAAAATCAAGAAAGATTTTAGAGTACTGGATTATTGTAATGATGTTACGCATGCTACTGCGATGCGACGAGAACCAAATATCAAAAATGTGTCAATACTGTGGGGACAATTACAATAAAAATCTTACTACAAGACAAACCCATTTTCTGTAGTAGACTATTTGCTGCCTAGCTGAGTTTGATGTATATATATCATCTTTTTGAACTTCTCTTCCTCACTATACGATATTGATTACAACAATTTGCCATGAATATTATTAATATTTTTATTCTACCCTCATTTTGAAACTATAATAGATTAAAAGAATGAAGTTTGATAAACAAAATTTAATTTTTTACATTTAAAACAAAAAGATTTAATTTCACTTCGAAACATGTTCTCAACATGCTTAGATCCATAGGCAAATCCTCACAAATCTCTGATCTGTCTGATCCAAAAAAAAATTATGTCAACTAACCGTGCTTGGAATGTTTGGGTGTGAGTCCATTAATTCGCATAAGATTGAGCAGAAGCATATCAGTGTGTGCGGCGGTGGACAGTTGCGGGTCGCCAGTGATGGCGGAGGCAGTAGCGGAAGCGGAGGCGGAGGCTGACAGCGGCGGGTTGCAACCATCGGTGCCGGCCGGAGTCACAGAGCGCCCGTGTACAGCGCACAGCAACCGACTGAGCGCGTCCGCGCCCGCTTCCGCCGACACTCCACACGCACCCTCCACGTCGTTCTCACCTGCGAGCGTCACGCATCATTCTTTATTTGCGTTGTACTGACAGTATGAGAATATCCACGACTTTTTTGCCACCAAGACGACGCCACTTAGGGATGAGGTGAAATGTTTTTGTTTGAAATACTATTAGATATATTTTATATTAATTAGATTAAAATGGATAAAGCAAATATCGGATATTCCTAAAAGTAAAAAATTTAAAAACAGAGTTAAAAATATGCAAAAAAATTAGAGAGCAAGCATTGAGGCGTTGTTTCGTGTATTTAGGTGTATACACCAGAAACCAAACAACTTTTATTTAAGACTTTTTCACATAGAGTGACACTGTGTAACAAATAAATTTCACTTCAGTCCCAAGTAGCGACATCTGGTGAGCGGTAAATGTTGCAATTTGTGTTGCATTCGCTAGTAATTTAATTTCACCTGATGGTAGGTGGTTGTGGAGTCCAAACGCATTGTCAACCCTGAGCACCCAGATTGAATATCTCTCGTCCCTTGTCATTTACCATACGATACAGCAGCATTATTAGGCATGGAAATTAAAGGTATAACTATAACGTCGTCAAGTTATTTTATATGTACCGATTTTTGTATTTGTTTCCGCCTGTTACATGTCAGTGTAATAGTAACTCGATTTAAAGATCAGCTCAGCTAGCATCCATTTATTGACGATAAGGATTTTCAATGAACTTTCCTTTATACTTCGACAGACTTGGGGCTGTTAATGTTTCATCGTATCTTCTCTTCTCATCTTACATCACGGTAGGTATTTAAAAGTTTATAAATTCAATCAAGTTTAACTCAATCAACCACCATTTCTACTTATGAATCAACATTTTACAATTTTTATCCTTTTTTATGTTATTTTTTTTTAGTGTCTGGTATATTACCTTTAAGTACATGTGTGTACGTTATATTTTTTATTTTATGTACATTATTATATAGCTAATAAATAGTATAACTCTAATACAAGTCACAGTATAGGGACTCTTAGTCTCACTCTACCTTTTAAGGTCAAAGATACCTATTTACAAATTACATAAATAATATTATTAACATACGATACAGATACTAAGCACTAATCAGTTAAAATCGCTATCTACGTTTAACAATATCACTAAGCCGTGGAGGGTCGCTGCAATAAGACTGCCAGTTAAATAATATCTCCTAGGTTAATTCAGCGTAAGAAAAACTTTACTTACTTAAGTAAATCAAAGAGGCTGACAACGCATCTGCATTTTAATTCTTAGAGGATAGCTGTAGATGTCTATGGGACACAGCAACTATTTATCATCAGGTGGACTGTGTGCTCATTTGTCACCTTCAAAATTGTTAAGAATAAAAAAGATTAAATTTCACTTGAAGATTTTATCACGCCAAATTATTTATTTTTTTAAATTTCAAGTAAGCGCCTAATAATGAGCCACTCTTGAGAATAAGATTAAACTTTACTCAAGCAGATTCTCTAGTCATGCTTGTGAATTACACACGTGCATGTTTTCGATGGATAAACTGGTGTAGTGATTTATGTTTCACTAGTTATATAACCAGTGATTCGTGAAATGTTCCACGCCTATTGGTTATATTGCCGTAGAATGACAGTTGATTTACAGCATAATATTTTTTTCATATTTTTTCAAATAAATTCTCAATACTAGCGAAACAAAGTAATACGTAAACTCAAACTCAAAGCACAACTTACTACTTGGGCAAAAATCTGTAATTGTTCTATTCAAACAACAAGACTGGTTTTAGGTACTGTAATAAGAGAACGAATACATTAATTTTAACTGAACAAAATGGGGAAACTTCTTCCGAATCACATATGAAACGCGAAATTCATGTCCTATATTGCTACTGTTTCTAATTATCTTCGCAAGCATCGCAACCGAGGACGCGACGCGGTATGTAGGGCTTCGGACGGCTTCGTGGGCGTCGGTACGTGGTACGACTGCAAGTGCGAGATTGCAAGTTTTGCGAAGTGGCGGAAGCAACCGAAGCGGGCGAAGCGTCGGAAGTAGGCGAAGCATCAGATGTAGGCGATTCGCCAAGCGCACACCACTCGCATGAGCCGCTGCCCGACGACCCGTCTGTAGGAGGGAAGGTAGGTTCAGGGAAGAGGAAATAGGATACGTTGGTTATTTTGAAGGATAAAGTAGGGTTTAATTGGAATAATACTAAGCTATTAATTTTCTAAAGGAGGAAGTTCATTTGTAATTCATGACAATTTAAAAATAAACATTCTAAACCGTGGAATTATATGCCACAAACAACTTCTACAATATTTGGAAAAATACTAATAAGCTGTTGAAACAGTGTTTTTCAAATAATATTATTTGCGAGTAAATTATCTATTTTTCACAAATTACAGTCAAATTCACAAACATAATATACTAAAAAAGTTATTCATATAATATTACACTTTTAAATTTCGGAAACAATAAAAGGTTTAAATTTTCCACTTATCAGGTTATATTATCTTACTAAAACTATTATGTCTGAAAAATAAATATCACATTCCGATGTCATTAGATTTATAAACATATTTCTATAAGTATGTCTTTGTTGGTCCTTAGAAACCTGATTTTATTTAAATAAAATTTTATTTCATAGAAAAAAAAATAAGTTAATAATAGGAATATACAGTGAACAAGAAAAATTTTATGCCATCGTAAAGTAAGAGAATAGGAGTAAAGAGCCGTGGTAGCCCAGAGGATAAGCACTCGCTGTAAATTTCACAGTACGCGAGCAACCCGGGTTCGATCGCCGACGGCACCAATGAAATTGTTAATTGCAATTTTAAGTGCTGATTTACCACGTGCTCGGCGGTGAAGGAAATCATCGTGAGGAAACCTGCACGTCTGAGAAATAAGAAAACAAAATATTTCGAAGACATGTAAAATTCGCCAACACGCATTGGGACAGCGCGGCGAACATTTCCAGGGCAAACCCTTTCGGAAATGAAAGGAGCCCTGTGCTCAGTAGTGGGACATATTATAATAGGCTGTAACTTTAACTTTTTTTTAACTTTTAAAGTAAAATCAATTACGTGAATAAATGTGATTTAACCAAATTAAAAAAATATCAACTTTGTAACTTTTTTAAAGAATATTCATGTACAGACTATACAAATCCATGTCAGATTATTTTTTTTTTTGCTTTTATTATTTGTAAGATACACAGACTATGATAAAACAATAAAAAACACAATACACGCACCTGACATTGTTTCCTCATCAACATCATTTTCCTCGTTTGAGTTTTCATCAACGTGACTGGGATTGTTATCTTCAGTGAAGCCCTCTAGTTCCGTGAACATGAGCTCCTGTGATCATAAACGAAATATTTTATTGCATCGTTATCAAAGCGCTGCCAAGACTGCTATATGAAACGCCCATTTATGCAAGGTAAACAAGCTATATTCGCAACTTTGTTCGGGTGGTTTATTTATTTCTGTAAGTGATTTACGATCATGTCGCACTTAGATGTATTTTTGCTATTAAATGGGTCCTTGATTCTTTAATCAACTAATGTTAAATTGCTACGCTGTTGGTGTTCCGTGAGTGTTGGCTCCCAGAATATGGCGATACGTTTACGGGTTAAAATCAATATAGTGCAATATATGGAATTCTAATCATGGATTCGCCACCGACATGCCAAAGAGTAAGGCGTACATTATAGCATAGCTCCGTACATTTTACTTTGTATTGCTTACAAAGTAAAATGTACGGAGTATATATATATGACATGCATATGAAAATGCATTTAAATAGAAAAACCTAAATAATTTTAATTTGTGAGTGGCTGTATTAAGTACACGTAAACAAGTAAATATATGAGTAAAGGGTTTTCCGATAAGAGCGGAACAATGTTGAAATGGAATAAAACTAATAGCTATGTGTGAGGCATTAACAGTTTTTTTAATTTTATTTGAAAGGTCCATCAATGCTACTAACTATGGAATATGACATCGTTTAAATGTCCACCGCGGCTGCTTAGTGTGGACCGGATCCGTGAGGTCCAATTTTCAATAACACTGTCGCATAAATCGGGCTGAATTTGAGCGATCGCATGGATTATGTTGACTTTGAATCGGTTCGATTTCAGAAAACCGCATATTTCCGGCGGGGTCAAATCGTACGATCTTAGTGGCGTCACCTCCGCGAGAGGTAACCCTACCCTCAAATCGTTCATGCTGAATTTCCATTGTGACGTACTCTGTATGGCACGTATCGCCGTCCTGCTGGCACCACAGATTGTCCATGTCCATTTTGTTTTTTTTTTTTTCATTTATTCATTACAGGCCTTCACTAGTCCACTGCTGAACATAGGCCTCCCCCAAGGAATGCCACAAAGCACGGTCCCGAGCCACCTGCATCCATTGACTTCCTGTATGTCTTGCCAGGTCGTCACTCCATCTAGTGGGAGATTCGCCTGTCGGTACGAGGCTGCCACTCTAGAACCTTTCTTCCCCATTGGTCGGTTTTTCGAGCTATATGGCCGGCCCATTGCCTCTTTAACATACTAATTATTTGGGCTATGTCGGTTACTCTGGTTCTACTGCGGATATCCTCGTTTTTATGTCTATCACGCAGAGAAATGCCTAGCATAGCCCTCTCCATAGCTCGCTCAACGATTTTGAGCTTCCTCATACAGCCAGCAGTGTCAGCAGGCCATATTGTTTAGTGTGGGTTAAAGAAATTGGTGATCATCTATCTGTAGCGTTCGCCATTGACAGTGCAGGTCTCACCAACGTCGTTTTTAAAAAAATACAGACCAATGACGCCACCGGCCCGAAATCCGCACCAAACAGTAACTTTTTGTGGATGCATTGTAATCTGGTGCACTTCGTGTGGGTTGGCATTGCCCCATATACGACAATTGTTTTTTCATCAAAATTGGAGTCGTCTCCCAAACGCTCTATAGCCCATTTAGTGAAGAAACGGCGTTGTTCGTGGCTAAGCATTAACTTTAAGCTCCTGGTTCAATTGGATCTTGTACGGGTACAAGTGTGTAAGTCCCGATGCAAAATCCGCCAAGTTGAAGTCTGCAAAAGGCTGAGTTGTTGTGCACGGCGGGAACTGCGTACTTCGGGTTTTCTTGCACACTTTTACGTTTTCATGTTGTCGACTGATCTGGCGTATCTTTGACGAACTTGTGTTGGCTTATTGTTTCCGAACCAATCGTTTCAAATTCATCTACTAAACGTTGCATTAAAGGCACACCGCAGACGCGGTAAACTGAGCGTAACACGAGCAACGTTTGCACTAACGAGCACTCATTTTGATAATAGAGTTTTGTCATTTGGACGCGGAAACTCAATCGTGTAACTTGCCACGATAATTTAACATCAGTATATGAAATAATAAACTTTTGACAGATGCTGCCACAGCCTGTCAACACCAACCCGTCCCCATTGGAAAGCCTTTAAGAAATAAAAGTAAACACTAAAGATCATACATAGATCTAGATATGAATGTACAGTGTTAATCAGATATGTATTTTATGAAGATAGCAGGTTTCCTCTCAATCTTATCTATTGTACTTTCAAAATCAAAATATATTAACGTATTATTCAATTAGACATAATTGAGAAATAGTTATATTTAGTATATATTTCAATTTACAAATTAATTGTGAATTAGCGAAGTGTTTAGATTTAGCGTTTAGGTTTAGCGAACCTTTTTAGATCTAAAATATAAAGATAAATAATTTAATAACCTAAGTACAGTGATAAAATAAAGTTGTAAGTGTTTATAAGCAGTAACTAGTAGATAAGGGATCTAAGAAATGTATAAGAAAAGGTAAAAACAGCTAACCTATCCTTAAAATCATCTTCTTAATATCCTTCCAATAATTTTTTGTTCCTTCTCAATGTTTACATGTATTTTTGTTGGTAAATGTTATGTACACTTGTTATTGATATACATATCAGTGAACGTGTTACTTGTTATATAATGTAGTGTTAATGTTTAATATGTATATTGCAAGTGTGCTTATGAAATAAAAAAAATAAAATAAAAAAAATAATTCTTTCAAAACCTGTATCCTAGTTAATGTAGGAGAGAATATACAGGGTTGTTTTTCAAAGAGTAGCGAAATTTTAAACTTAAGTTCAAATATAGGTTAAGCGTCCACTAGGCTCGCTGAGCCGAGTCGAATCGAATCGCAGAAAGTCGCCTGCTATATATTCACTATGAAACTGCGTCCATTAGCGACGAGCCGCGGCGCGACGAATTGAATCGACCGCGCGAATTGCTTGACAGGCGAATTTCTTCGCCTGTGTGATTCGATTCAACTCGGCGCGCCTCAGTCGACGCGGAGAAGCGGAAGCGCGCCAATGTATTTTTATTAATTTCTTTTCGATTCGACACCAGGCTATATAAATAATGTTAAGCCTGGCGTCGACTACAGCAGCAATGCGTCGAATCGAAGCGAGTCGTATTTATTCCTAGTGCGTCCATCTCTGACGAATCGAATCGAATTGTTAATTCATTGCAAATTCTTCATCAAAATAGGTCGCTTTGCGTCATGGACAGCTCGGATGAAGAGATGTTTTTATTTCATCGTGATAATGTGGGTGGATATTGTTGGACCAGTGATATCAATAATTCTTCATTCATTTTTATTTAAACAAATAGATTTTTACGAAAACGAAATAGAAATTAATTAAAATACGCTGGCGCACATCCGCTTTTTCGCGTCGACTGAGGCGCGACGAGATGAATCGAATCGCATCGGCGAAGAAATGTCAAGCAATTCGCGGGGTCGATTCAATTCGGCGCGCCGCGGCTCGTCGCTAATGGACGCAGTTTCATAGTAAATATATAGGAGGCGACTTTCTGCGATTCGATTCGACTCGGCTCGGCGAGCCTAGTGGACGCTTAGCCTTATCCGTTTATTGCAGTTTTTGAAAATACGAGTAAATACGGCTTCTACTTTTATTTGAAATTATCCCAAATTGAATGTAATTTATGGGCAACAACGTTTTTGCCTACAGATAGACCCTTACGAATGAGTGCGTGCGCAGTAAAATCAGTTAAAATAATGCATTACCACGTATTTTGAATTTAAAAGATAAAAAGGACAGAATTTTTGAACATTTTTCTTTCATTAGTTTTTCTTCACCATTTGCCTACATTACCTATTCTGAACCTTCTCTGCAAATTTGGCCGGTTATTACAAAATAACCCTGTATAGATAACATACATCACGAGAAAGTGATATTGTTATAATATTATTGACAAACGACTAAATCCATCTGGTAGCAAGTAACCAAACTCATGGATGAATGCAACGAACATTAAAACAAGGAAGCTACAATAACATTGAGACCCAGAGGTCTAGGATCGAATTCTTCGCAGCTTTAGGCGAAAGCCACGCTGGTGCGACTGCCGGGAGTGTAGGCGACCTGCTGGGGCAGTAGTCGTAGAGACTGGAAACGCTGCGCTTGCCGCAGAAGTATGCAATGTTGAAGCGGTTGCGTGATATGGGCTTATTAATATTATTTGCGCGAAAAATTAGCAAAAAGTACATTTTTGTAAATTGGCACTTTCGTCAAGCCTCTTTTTTTGAAACAGAAACAGAAACGTTTTTATTCAATATAGATTATAAATAATACTTATTGAAAGTCACTCTTTTGTATGATTACCACTGGTTCGAAAAAAAAAACCTCTGTCCTGGGAAGAACCAGCAAGAAACCCAGCGGGACTTTTTTTTTAAATAACAGCTTACAATCATGTATGTTACACAAATTAACAACACAATAAATTAGAAATAGCTTGGTAGCGATCACCTCATTTCCAGGGGTTATTATCATCTATAAATTCATTAATATTATAATAACCCTTTTTATACAAACTTAGTTTAATAAAGTTTTTGAACTTTGAGCAGGTCAAATTTTGTATATTTTCTGGAATTTTGTTGTAAAAGCGTATACATCGCCCCAAGAATGAATTACTGACTCGATGGAGTCGAGTAACTGGTACTACTAGCTTGTGTCTGTTCCTAGTATTTACAGAATGGATATCACTTATTTTTGTGAAGCTACTTATATTTTTGTGTACGTACATTACATTTTCATAAATGTATTGAGAGGCCAAAGTTAATATATTAATTTCCTTAAATTTTTGTCGCAGCGACTCTTTAGGCTTTAAATCATAAATTGCTCTTATGGCCCTCTTCTGTAAAACAAATATAATTTCAGTGTCAGCTGCGTGTCCCCATAGCAAAATACAATACGACATTATGCTATGGAAATAGCTAAAGTAAACTAGTCTAGTCTAGCTGTTTCAACACTAGTTAGACTTCTAATCTTTTTTACGG